AGTGGAGTCTGATTTAAGTTTCCTAAATAATTACCTATACTATTTTGGGTGGTTCCTTTTTTTACAGTATAATGAGCCCCAAGACCCCTATATTACAACTTTAAAGCCCTGAACCCTAAACCCTAAACCCTTTGGCTTCATGGTAGAAACCCTTGAAGACCCCCTGTAGAGCCCTTGCAGCGGATCAAGAATAGAAGCTTATGAACTCCTACAGCCAGCAAAGCTGTAAGACATCTAGAACACTCAGATGAGAACTATGAACACCGAAGAAGAGCACCCGAGCCATGCGAAAGCCGAAACTGGCCTGCGGCAGCCACCACTTTGGGCTGGGCGGCTGCAACTGCAGGCAAGTGTGATTTAGGTATTGTTTGTAGGGTTTTGGGGCGGAGCGGTCGGGTCTACCCTGACCCCGAAACCATTTGGGAGTCGCGGACCCATGTCAAACTGCCAGCACGAAACCCTGAACCCTGAAATCGATTCTCCGCCTGAAGCAGACCAGACGGTTTAGGGTTTAGGGTTTATATCTCAGACACCGTCCGGGACAACCAAGAGAAGCACTTGACACCCAAAGTGAAACTTGAAGGTTAACAACCCCTTGGGTTTATCCTGCTATCAAACCAAGGAATACTGCTATGCCTGACGTGTGTCAGAATCAAATCACAAGGTGTTCAGGAGTTAAGGATTCAGTCGGATAATGTAAGGTTCTGGGTACAGGTTAGGCTGTTTGGAAGTTTTGATTGGGCAGTTGCGGGAATTACCCAAAGCCTAGTCCCGAACCCTTATATTTAAACCCTAAACCCCAGCCCTTACACTCGAAACCTAACATCTAAACTTACTTCCCCCGATAAGCCAGGGAAATACAAGGTTAAACTTTCAGATGACTACTAAGTTATAAGAACCCAAAAAGTTTAAAGGTTGGGTATTGGAAGACTAAGTAAATCCAAACTCCTGACCCCTCACCCCCCAAACCCTAAATCCTTACCCCAAGCCTCCAACAAATCGGTAGAGCCCGCCTGGCACGGGTGCCTGCGTCGTGTTCGTGAATGTGGTCGTCGTGTTGGTCAGGGTCGTGGTTGTCATCCTCGGCTCAGGGATTAAGGTCAGAGTCGAAGAGGAGGGTTTTTGAAGTTTAGGGTTTAGGGTTTAGGGTTTAGGGTTTAGGGTATTTTGAAGGGTCCAGTTCATACAGGCGGGTTCGAAGGCTTTCTGAAGGGCTTTATACATAAGATGATTATCAGCGAACCACTTGGCGCAGCTCTACGTGCAATATTGCTCTCAGAGCTTGAACAGGCTGATCAAGGTTTGAGAGTATTGCATACTGCTTGAAAGTTATGCACTATTCAAAGCTACTGTGGTCCTCCGAACACTACCTTCTGTGCCACGAAGAACCGACAAATCAGCACTCCCAACGCGCGTCGGTAGATCGATTGGCCGAGTTTATGGGTTTAGGGCTAGGAATTAGGATATAAGGGCTTGGGGTATAGGGGTTGAGGGATCGGGTTTAGGGGTCTTGGGCCTAGGGCAGTCTAAGGGGCTTGTTTGGGGAAGGCCTAGACAGCCAAAACATAAAGACACACGAGCCAGGGTTTGCAACCATCATGCCAGAATAACCCTGAGGCTCCAAAATGACGTGAAGTCACAGATCCACCTGGACTAAAGAATCCCCAAGCGCTCTGGACGCCGCTGTTGTTCGGGCAGCTCTGATCCCGGACGGCCATGGAGGACAAGCCGAGAAGCCCTGTGCCCTGCTCAGGTTTACAATGCCCACAAGTTTACCTAGTTCGTGGTTATGCAAAAGCTGGTCTGAGTCAAGGTATCCCGATAAACTAGTTAGTTATTGAACTCCCATGCCAAAAAACCAGGTCTGTTTATACATGCTTGGATTCTTGCGAAATCCATTGAACTGCGCAGCCGAAAATCTAAACGACCCGAATTTGGCCAGCCGAGCCACGTGAGAGTCGTGGTGGTTTGAGTGACGGTCGTGGTCGTACTGGTGACCTTGTAAAACTCTGCTTTCACTTGGGACTCCTGTACCCAGAAAGCCCAATACCCCTTGAATAGGGAATGTACCTCAAACTATCGGGGCCCTCATATTATGATTTAAGGTCTATTCCTTAATTAAGGGGTATTGGGCTCTCTGGGTATATAATCTTTCTGCCACTCCAAGACTGGTTCAGGGCTTAGGACGGAACGTATGTCACGACTTTGGTATCTGATACATACACTTCTAGGCAGTTTCTTCTCATAAGCCAGAAACAAGAAATCCTCGAACTTTCATTTCGGATGTTGGGGTGGTACTTCGTCATACCGCCCTGCAGTAATCCATACGTCTCTTTGGTGAGGTCTGAGATGTGCGCGTGTGTGTGTGTGTGTGTATCAATGCAAAGCTGGGTGCTACGGTTTAGGGTTTAGGGTGCTTGGGGGTCTACGCTGGACACGCACAAAAACCTTGACGAAGTTTTGGATGCTTACGTGCACCTTCCAAGATTCACGGCATCCGCAACAACAACATCACGATGATGATAATGATGATGATGATAATGATGATGATGAGGATGATGATGATGATGATGATGATGATGTTGATGTTGATGTTGATGTTGATGTTGATGTTGATGTTGATGATGATGATGGATGGTGGTGAGGACGAGGTGTTCATAGCCGTTGCGGCCCGTCTCTTGTTTCTTGATCTAAAGTTCTTAGGTAACTCAACTGGTTTTGCTGTTCCGTGGATGCGGAAACCTCGTCACCTATCGAGCTTGCTGACAGAGAGCGGTCGTGGAAGTAGCGGTACTGGGACTCACCTTCAGCAGCCACGCATTGCTACTTCAACAAGTCCTAAAACTCCCAAACTTCAACCCTCATACCGCTTCCGGTATATACCCTATAAACCCTAAAGCCCTAAACCGCAAACCCTTGAAAACCCCACGACGCAGTCCAATGTACCTGTTCAGATTTCAGGCTCCAATCCTACCCAACTGTCAGTAGTCAACAATTTGGGGTGAAGGCCCACAGCTTTATGTCACCACCCGCAGAAGTGATATGATATGTTGTCAATGTTACGGGTATAATCCGGTCGTGAATCCGATCATTGCCTTCTCCACAAAAGTCATGAGTCAGCTAGTCAGTTAGTTAGTTAGGTAGTTTTCTAGTTAGTTAGTTAGTTAGTTAGTTAGTTAGTTAGTTAGTTAGTTAGTTGGTTACTTAGTTAGTTAGTTAGTTCGTTGGTTAGTTAGTTAGTTAGTTAGTTAGTTAGTTAGTTAGTTAGGTCGTCAGTCAGCCACAGGCACGCAGTCAGTCAGTTTGGTACTTCATTAGTTTGTAGTTTAGTTAGTTAATTGGCTAGTCAGCTAGTCATGGCATTGGGGCTTATGGTTGAGGGTACTGTAGTTCGGTGGTTGTCTAAACTACGGTAAGTTAGGACCCTGAAAGAGACCCCAATTCAGAGAACTACCCGGTTGTCTTCTGTGGGACTGTGTTGGGATGCTAGTTACTAGGCGCATGCTCACGCAGGAGCCTTGGTCTCTTTCGGCACAAGTACTACTATAACATAACTCCAAAATCACTACTGTAGTACTACTACAGTATTACTATAATATTACCTCAAGATTACTATGATATTACTGTAGGCATCATCAGGCAAGAATGAGCTGTCTTCTACAATCCCAAAACAGCACCAACCTACCACCCCCCTCCGCTGCTATGTCAACTGAGACGCTGTGGATGCGGCGGGTGTGAAAGGCACGACGGCAGCCGTCGTAGCTGCAGCCGTGGTGGGGGCGGCTGTGGTGGCTGCCGCCGTTGTCGTTTCAACGGTGGTGGATTCCTGAATCATACAGATGCAGCAAAGCTGGTTTGTGGCAAACGGGAATGCAGTGCACAGGAAAGGGTGACACGGAAACAAGACGTGGCTCAGGCCTCAATACACAAACCTTGATGCACATCTGCGCGCATTTCGCCTGACTCAGAAACCGTGTTGGTTGCAAAATATAACCCTTCCAAAACCCTCCGAAATTTCACTCCCCTTGACTCCGGAAGGTTCAGTTCATGCAACAAGAGCACAGGGAACTGTAGAGGATATCGACCGATCATTTTGTCTACTCTTTCTCATTTGTACTCTTTCTGGTGTCACCACTATTTTCCAGATATCAAACTTCACACTAGGACTCCGGAGAGGTAACGTGCTCTCTCCTAAACCCTATACTGTAAACTTTAATCTTACCCTTGCACCCTATGACCACAGGCCAAAGGCCTGATTGCCCGATCGTCACCGAAGCAGCCGAAGCATCAGCGAGAAAACGGTTTAAACCCTAAACATTAAACCGCTAAACCCTAAAACCCCAGACCCTAAACCCTAAAAACCCCTAAACCCCAAACCCCAAACCCTAAACCCCCAACCCTTAACCCTAAACCCCAAACCCTAAACCCTAAACCCCAGGGCTTCGGGAGTTAAGGGTCCCTCTGCACTCTGCACTCTGGTTTTAGGG